GGAGGCAGCAAACCACCTTGCCATATATGTACCTATGCAACAATCCTGCATGATCTGCACATGTACCCCAGAATCTAAAGTACAATACAAATAAGTAAATGAAGTCAATGAAAGCCCCAGCTGTTTGCTGGGACCCTTCTCGAGACTGTGCAGGGAGGGAGAACCCAGGAAGAACATAGTGGTCTTCTTTGGTTGAGATTAGTAAGGTCCGTCTTGGAGACTATGGTGGCCAGAACTTACTGGACATAATAGCAGAGAGAAAGTGGTATGCAGAGAAAAAGCTATGGAAGTTTCCATGAGGCTCCTTGAGTTTTTAACCGAATACTGTGCTGTGCATGCATAGGATGGAACTGCATTGGGCTGAGCGAAGAGCAATTACTGAAGAGCTATAAAGATGAAGAATTACAAGAGTTCACCCAGGACTGAGAGGTGCCATTACTTACACCACAGGTTTCTGAAAGAATCGTTTTCCAAATTCTAAGCCGCTCACAAACAAACATACATCTCAGAAGTATGGAGGTTTTACAACGTAGAAGATGATGCTTTATTGACTCAATCATATGAATTTAAAGAAAGATAAATAGTAAAAGCTCTCTTTTAAGATATTTTAACTGGAATTGGACTTACTTTCACTTATTACCTCAGTTTTGTAACCATTTATTGTTAACTAACCTGATAATATAAATACCAAACAGATTATTGCTTAAAACTGATTTTCTTCAAAGTGTATTCTTGTATAATATTTCTACCTATCACATACATTCGATTTACATAGGTAGGCAAATTATGTTATTGCACATCTACTTAGGCACAATTGGAGCTGAAAATCAAACAAATAATGATAGAAGTAGTGATGAAATCTACATTTAACCTATAACAATAGATTTATTTCTTTAAAAATTAACAAAAGATACCATGATCTGAGAGAGCAGAATTTTGCTTACTAGTGGAGGTGCATTTGGGAGGAGTGGACCAGCCACCTTCTACACATGAAATGTTGTTCTTATTATTTTGAAGGCTGTATCCTGCGTTGCAAACAATTTGTACGGTATCACCTTCCAGATGTGTCTGTCCTGAAGAGTCAGAATGACCATTTTCCACAAAAGGAAAGAAACATATTCCTGAGGACCAAACATTATTTAATGTACAAGATGAAAGTAGCAAAAAAAACTTCAACTGCATTTTAAAATATTTTATTAAGAGCTGAAAACTTTGAAAACTGACATCATGTGTAAATACTTTCAAAAGAATTTGGTCATGTTACTGTATGACCAAATGATGAAATATATTTTTTGTTCCCATATGTGTACATATAAAAGAAAGTTAATATTTCATGCTACTGCTGTATGGTTGTTATAATAAAATATTTTATGTTTATAAACTTTTCTAGGGACAAAACAATATCTTCATATAAATACTTCTCTCAATTCTCATGAACGTTTCCTACAAAAGGAGAAAGATCATTATTATCTCCTTTGTTGCCTTATCTATTCTCTCTCCCATTGTTTTTCTTTTTTTAATACACTTGTTGTCATTGGAGACTGTTCGCTACATTTAGTGGAGGATAAATATAGCTACACTTTGAAGGTCCAAAGAAATGATTTATTAAAAATATAAAAGTGAAAATACTAAACTTTACCTTGCAGTGTGCAAGAGAATAGTAAATTCAAAACAGAAAATGTATAAAATTGAGTTACTTTAAAGGAAAGCTATGATCAGGCTGCTACCAAATGATATTAGTAAAGAAATATTAGCAGTCAAATATACTAATCATAATTAATTATGATTATTAAAACTAATATATTTCAATGCATAGAGCATTTATAGGTAATACAAGACAGTTGACATACATGTTCCTCATTTGATTCTCATAAGAGGCACCACAAAATAGGAGGACTACGTCTCCCATCTTTCCAGCTCCTCTGGTCACTGCCCCTGTCATTATCATGACCTTATGATCTTGTCTGGCACATCCTTCTCTATTTGCCAAAAGAAATCCATGTAATGATCAGGGCGTTTACTCACTGAGACACTTTGGTGTTGGTGACCATCCTTCTTCTGTGCATGTTATGCGAGTCCAGAAGGATTTTGAAGGAGCCATAAAATTAAATTCACAGGAGTAATAGAAAACTTCCCCTATAGGAACTTGGGAAAATGGCTTATAATTTTCTTCATCATACAGAATTCCATGGTTTATTTTTGGAAAATCACAAAGTGTTGCTGGAAAAAATAACACAAAACTGAAGAATTACATAATAAGCTACATCAATGAATCACTAGGTTATACTTTAATCATCTCATTTACAGTTTTTTCTTTCCTTCAGCTTAAATACCTTTAGCTTCAATGCTTTCCAGTGTACTCATTAGAAACAAAGAAAGATCACTGTTTAAGAGTATGAGTATTTGAGGAGGTCATTGTCAATGAATATGAAACTTATATTTTGGAGTGATATGAAATATGAGCTCTTCTGCAATGTGCTCAGGAAGAAAACCCTCACACAACAATTTAAGAATGAAGACAGATTGTAAGAGTGGCAAATCTCCCTGATCTATGTAGTGTACAGTAGAGGAGTGACAGGATTATTCTCAGCTCTCAGACTTACTTCTTTTCTCTATTCTCATCAACTGTCATAGGTATCTCCACCAGAAACTCTGTCCTGTTTATTCTTTTTTTCTGATGCTGTAAAAATGTTGGGTAAGTAGTTTATTTTTTGTTTATTAATATTTTGATTATTTTCTTGTTACAAAGTTTATATCGTTTCAGTGAAAATAATTTAGAGAGTACAAGAAAATCACTAAGAACAACTCAACCAAGATTCAGTTAGAGCTAAATTTTGGTAAGTGTTGTATATATAAATATGTCTTTACACTGCTGGCCCAAAACATTTGAAAAAGAAAAAAATAAAATAAAAAGATAATAAAACAATAAAAATGATGTAATAAAAATATAACAACTATTTATTTACATTATATTAGGTATTATAAATAATCTAGAGATGGTTTAAATTACATGGGAGGATATGCATAGGTTACATGCAAAGACTACACTAGTCTCTCTTAGAGACTTCAGCATCTGTGGCTTTTGGTATCTGCTAGGGGTGAGGAGAGTCCTAGAGCCAATTCCTTCAGGATACTAAGGGACTAACATATATATGTATATACGTTACATACACTTACACATACATCCATATGCACTCTGGTGCAAGATGTATTAAAACAATGCAGAAAATGGGTGAAATCTCAATACGTTTGACTCTATTTTCTTGTGTGTATATGTATACAACGTATATATATAAACTTTAAATAAAAACAAATACTAAAGTCTAAAAAAATATGTCTGTGTATTAGACTTTAGTCTTATAGTTTTTATCTATAGTTTATATATATGTATAAATGTGTGTATATATACACACATATTTTTATTAGACTATAGTATTTATTTACAGTTTTATTCACAGCAAATTTGAGTGGAAGGTCCAGAGATTCCCTATATACCACTTCCTCTTCCCCACCACAGGAATAGCCCCCCTCACCATCAATATTAGTATCATTCAAAGCCCATAGTTTACATCAGGGTTTACTCTTGATATTGTACATTCTATGGATTTGATGTACTTTATCTTTGGTGCTTTTTTAGCTCAAGATATTTCCTCAGTACAGTAGTGCTCTTTTTTTTTTAGCTCAAGGCATTTTCTCAATGTAGCATTGCTGCTTGAGAAATTGTTTTGGTTTTTCACCTTGTGGGGAAAAAGCGTGCAGAGATTCAGCTGTCAAATCAAGGAAAATTTCTTCTTTTGATCTACCTAGAAGTTATATTTAATGTTGTACAATATTTGAAATAATTCCTGTGGTATTTAACCTTGTGAAACCTTAAATTGATAAACTAACTGTTTGAAATGTGACACTAGATATTTTTAGAGAAGATACTG